GATAAATACAGAATCCCTAAAGAAAGCCCAACACGGCAAAATTGAAAATGTTGCAGGCTCGGTTTGATTGAGCCTGTTCATGGACGGTACTGGAAAGTGCAAGTTACCGTCCACGCCCCCTAGCACCGGCTTAAGCAGAATTCAACATTTAAACATGAAATGGTAAAATTTTGAATTTAGAAACATCCGCAGATGTGTTCATACGGCGGTTATCATGGAACCTTCAATGTGACACTTCCGTGCCATTCCATGAAAAGCGGCGTATGGTCCCCAAGTAATAAAAAGCGTGTGCCCTAAACGAGAAAACAATGGGCGGAACTAAATAAAATGGAATTTTGAAAGGGGATCAGAGGTTATGAAGCCTGCGTATCACAGATAAGACGTCAAAAGACAATTTAAAAAGCAGGCAACATATCCTAAGGGTGATTCAACATTATTCAGTCCATTTTAAACAAATACCTTGTTATTGTTTAATGTTAAATTTTATACTAATACTTTATACCAAAAAGCCACAAATGAAGAAGCAAATGCAGTATTTAATATAGGCGCCAAAAGGTGCATAACATCTTTGCTGTTAAATGGTTAAACTGTTTTGTGAATTAATGGCAAAGTCAAGCCTTGTATATAACATGTACGCACAGACTCGACATATTTGGCCGTTTAAAATGGCCCACATTTGTTAACAAAATAAAACATGGTCCACATTTATTAACAAAATTGTACAATGATTTTACTTCAAGCTATGGTTTGCAAAACTTAATCCAATCACAAACAAAATTTTGGTTCAAGAACATACTTTTAGCTTAGTAGGCCGAGTATCGGAGTTTTGCTAGTTCGATCCTCGGGCTAGGCAAAGTTTCTATATAAAATTTGATCTCGGACATTGAGTCCAATAATCATTTGTCTCTCACCACTGAATGATTCAGAAGGTATGTGGAAAAAGAAATCGCCCACTTGCGAGAGAAATCAGTAAACAATACTTAAACTACTTATCGAGTAAAGCTTGTAAGCCGCACCAACCGCCAGGATAAGAGAAGAATGCAGTAAAAGCGTCGTAAAAATACAAACAAATAAAATATAACTATCATGTAGAATAACCATGTTTATTTTACAGGAAGTATCGAAGTTGTTTTTGGGTTTTCATTTTCATTGTCCCGGATATTAAAAAATATTATCTGAAATTTGTAATTTTTACCAACGGTTGCTCTCTACGTATGCAAAACGTTAACATTTTCCTATTATTGTGATATGAGTCACTAAATAATATTTTATTTCCTCTAATCAATCATATGCATTGTAATACTAAGACAGTCATTATGTATATATGTATATGATTCTTTTTTAATCACGTTCAATCTAGTAATCATGCATTCACTTCAATGAAAAGAATGTTACAGTAATAATTTTCCAAGCCGTCAAGTCATGTATTCAATTTTTTTCCCGCCATTTTTTAATGTTTGATAGTCAACATGTATGTTCTTCAGTCTGTGAAGCAATTCTTTTAGATTTTTATACATTTTTTATCATAAAAGCATGAGGTATTCAGTTCTATGATTCAATTTGCATTTAAAGAACCAAGAACAGTCATCGTGTATTTCATTCTGTTAAACATGTTATGCCAAAACCATAGGGGAGGAGACATATAGATTTACTTTTGTTCATCCATTCCGATGTCATTTTAGCAGGTTGTCTTGTTGTCTAGATCTGAGAATCATTTTGTGTTGATATAAACAAAAACTGGATTATCTTTAGTCATTTTTATTTTTTCCACACTTATAGTCTGTTTTGTGTATATATTTATGTAAAAGAATCAAACTACATGTATTACAAAACCTAAAAGATGGTTATTTATAAATCTACTTGGCAGCTGTAAAAGTTGCCTTCGTACTTTTCTTTTGTCCTTCAGAATCATTGATGCCAATGTGTTTATGTGGGGAAGATTGTCAAATCCGGTGCTAGGAAGCGTGTGTCGTGTTGCTCTTTCCATTATCTCTCGTAAACAGACTCGATCAACCCGTGTCTTCAGTTCTCACTTCAAAGGTCCATTATGCATCAAAATGCTATTATTTTCATTTTTCAATTCTTCTCTAAGTTTAATATCGTTTTGCAGTTTCAAGAATGTTACTCATTTGCCATATAGTTGAACTATTTTTGCACGATTTGCTTTGTTGGCAATTGATAAAACATTATTTAAACATTATAAAGCACATGTTTGACCGTTCTAAAGACTTTAACAAATATGTATTTATGAGACAAAATGTGCCTTGAAAACTTTGTTTTAATTTTCTCTTTTCCAAATGAATTATTTCTCCTATTTTCAAGGTTATGTTTTCCATACATATTTACCATGATTATAATTCAATCATTAAAAAAACGAATGCATCTTATAAATAAATGTAAATATTCGTTTATATGTCATTTCTTTGATGACACATTTTTTTTACCATTTGTTATCTATGTTTCCAGTTTCCCATTTATTCATCTTCTGGGCGCATATTTTAGTTTCTAATTAGTTACAATACTCTCGTGAAAAAGTCACCTGAGAAGGTCGAAACGTTTTATTTTTAAATCCCCCAACAAAGGACCAATAGCAATAAGCCCAGTAGGAGACTAAACCGGGCAGGTCCCAAGGGCCCCTTTACAATGATGCTTTAGTCTTGTGCTATAACTGACTGATACTCATTAAGTTGGTAAAACGTGTTATCTTATTTGTGGGAGTATATTTATAAAATGCTTAACAGTTTCAGCGGTTTGTTTGTTTACATGAACATACTATAATTTCACAATGGCATTAATGATAAATATACTATTTTAACAACAGGGACTATATGTGGGTATTGTTTTCGATATCGAGTAACAAACTTACGAACGTCAGAAGTTGAAATTCAATATCGAACTGTATGAACGTTTTCGTATATGAAAACCACATAAACAAAATGTTGGATATTAATATTACAATAGATACTCTGTTCATTTGAGAGGGCACACGTATACTTTTAAAGCAATCAGACAGTGTCATTCTGACTTGCCTGAGTCAAATAAACCCTTTGAAATTCCCTTCACACCACATACAAAAACAAGTCGTGCAAATATTATTGGAATGCTGCAAATGATTAGAGATGGGGTTATCCATTATGACATTGTCGTTTTGGTTTAAGAGAAAGTGCATGTCTTGAATTCATAAAAACTTGAATATTGTTAAAAGGTACAAAGAAGAGATATTTGTCTTGTAATTTGACAAAGACTTTGTTGAAAAGTATACTTGGTAATATAAAAACGGTAGTTTGCACTTGACAGTACAGTCCATGAACAGGTACCGGCACGATATGGCCAGTTATGTGTTGACATGCCGTAAAAATCCAAACAAACAACAATGATCAGGCTCCGAGTCTGCAACATATTCAATTTTGCCGTGTTGGGCTTTCTTTAGGGAGTTTTCTCTATTTTCTTATTCAGGAATTTATTAAGGTCTTGGATTTTTTTTTACTCAATATGTCCAATTTTTACATTATGCTGCATGCCCTTTTACTGGTCAAGTAAATTTGGTCCCTTTCTTAAACGAGCCATAATTTTACTGACATTATGTATACTGTGTTTATCTATAGTGTGTAGGGTTTTAAACGTAAAAATCTCCTCTGTAATCAAAGGATGTTAACCTTACCTTTTAAATAGATATTCGAATAATAGAATAAAACTTGCTAAACAAATGTTTATTAAAACGACTTAATGTATATGTCAATAAATGATCTACCTATCGTTTTAATTATAACAGTTATCAGTATTTTCAAAGTTTATATCTTAATTGAGCATGTTGATCTTTAAACGTTTTAAATTGTTTCTAAAATATGGTGGGAGCCGATTACCTTAACAAACTGTTTATATGAAATATTAAGATCCAGTTAGATTCAACTTGGTTTTTTTTCAAAATTTAGGAATTGAATGTATTAAAGTTAGTTCTGTCACACTGTTGAAACTATTTTGAAAGCATAAAGTACTTAGGAAGGAATATTAAATGGATTTAAAATTGATCTTTTTAAGTGATTTTTATGAACACAAAATTACTTTCACTGTTTGTATAATTCAACGTGTAAATGTATTTAACATCCCCGCTTTGAGGTGTCTCTCTCATTCATTTTGTAAGTATGAATACCTTGTCTGTATGCTTCAATCAGTTGAATGCAATTCTTCAAAGTGGAGCACCACCAAAAGATATAAGCAAAGTGTCAAATGGTGAGAAAAGGCATTACAAGTTTAAAAAATATTAATACTCAATATTCAACTTTCCAAAAAACGAAACGTTATTCAAAAAGTAGGCGGAATTTAAATATATTTGATTATATTTTTAAAACATGATTTATGAATTTTACAAATTTAAAAAAATAAGTAAAATTTGCTATCTCAAGTTAATAATCTTATTCATTTAACAATAATTTTACATTTTCAATTAAAAAATGAAAAAAAAATCAGATAGTTTGAGACATGCTGCTTAAAAACGGGAGCATACTTGTTTAGAAGAGCTTTACTGTAGAAAGCTGATTGTTATTTTACTATAGCTTTTGGTGCTTTCCAAAGAACCATGATACAAACACTTCAATAATAAAGAGATGCAATAACTACAAAAATGCGCTATGCATTTTAATTAGTTTTTTTTCTTTTAATCCATTTTTACATAATTTAGGTTCTTTTATTTGTTCGTTTTTTTAATGGTTATGTAATACCAAGATCTGATATATCTCATCTCTCTAAATACCCTAGACTGTAAAATGCACCATTCCAAAAGTCAAAATACTACTCCGACACTGCTGATTTGCATAAAAGTCATACTATACCCTAAATAGGATACATCTTAGTTCGGGTGTATGTTTAACGTAATCATTTACATAATATACAAATCTGATAAAATATATCTACTATTCATGGCGGGCATGAATGGGGTTTATCAACATTTAAAAATCTACGACATTTATTACTCGTCACGCTATCTGACCGCCACATGCATACTTGTGGGAAGAGTCATTCATATCCACCAATCGCGGCTACGGCTACCGAAACGGTATACATATAATAGAAGCTGGAGGCAGTCTGTCAACTAGTCCATTTAAATATACCAAAGAAATCGCTCGCAGAATTTTAAAAGGCAATAATCGTGAATTTATCGTAGATTTTACTGGTTTTTGAGGAAAAATTAAATGAAACTTCAACATAGCTCAAGGTATTTCAATTATAGTTTATTCAACGTTTTTATATTTATCATTTTGTCAATTAAAATTTAAGTTTAATAAACTAGATTCTTTCAAATATAATTCTATTGGAATACCTGTATGATTGTTAAATACTGTAAAATAGCCATATTTATAATCGATTAAACGAAACGTTTTTCAATAATGAGAAGTCATAATACAATTATATTGAAATTGAAAACCACCTTTTTTGCAGCTGATTATGCAAAGTTAATGTTAAGATCTTTTGTTAAAGTAACACATAATTGATACATTTTATTAAGTATTTTGAAATACGAGTTTTTGAAACTGTCTTCAATATTCGGCACGTACTTAATGTTAATATAAACTGTTGTCCTTTCCAGGCACTTGCTGTATGAAGTAAATATTAGAAGAGATCATAGAAAAAAGACCAATCAAACGAAAGAAGTTGATACAGAAACGTCAAAAAGTGACCAAAGATTATCTTACGAATATTCAAAATTTGTTTTCAGTGGATATGGTTACGATAAGCAAGGTTCTAATCATATTAGGAACATTTCTGTCAATGACAGATGGATTTACACTACCTATATTAAAGGATAATTACGACATTGAAACAATTGATGTTGAACAAAGAGAAGTACAAAAGAATGCGGCTGATAAATATCCGTAAGTATTTTTTATTTATTTATTATAATTTTATTTTTTATTTTTTGTAATTCCTAGAAAAAAAGATAAGAATGCTATTGAAGTGATGCGTTTTTGTTTAATGAATAAATGAATAGAGTGTTTTATTGTAATTATATTCTGCAGAGAGATAAATAAGGATTTTACAAAGTTCGAAAACATTTAAAGGAATGTATTTTTTGAATAAATGAATGGTCAGGTTATTGATTTGTGATATGGTTTACAAAAATTACGGAATAAAGATTTTGAAAGATTACTAATTCCTTGTATATAACTTTACAACAAATAAAACAGATATGAAAATGTTAGCAGCATAAATATGTATACGATAACTGGGTCATACTGTTGCGTGGTATTTTCATGTTAAAAAAGTGAATTGGTCAATAACCATGAAATATTATTTCATACCATAAATAATTATCTTGATAGTCAGTACCATACAAATTATTTTGTATGGACTCTGTTGAAAAGTGTGAGATACTTGATCCTATTTAACTTATCTGTATATGCATATAACAGATAATAATTTTTTTCTGGCATAAAATATCATTTTTAATAGTATTAATGTACAAACTAAACCACTAAGACCCCTATCAACATATTTTCCAAGATATATTTTGTAAGAATATCCAAATGATGCATTGCCTTAGGGTTTTTTTACCAAAATTTAAATATTTATCGAAATGGTGCCCATTGAAAAATCGATTGACTTTAACCAAAGGTAAACAATATATCAGTTAACAATATATCGTCAGAGGGAATCTTTGTTGCCCATTTGAAATGCCTGTCCCTTAACTAAATATAAGGGAATACATGTAAACGCAATATCAGACAATGTCTCCTTTCAATAGATAATATATTGTGATCATTTGAAAAGCCTGCCATTTGTTCTTTACCAAAAATAGCACAATATGTCTTTGTAATTGAATTTCAACCTTAATTTAAATTAAGGACATGAATTTGACCTGACTTTTATAGAGTCACGACCAATCTTTCTCAAAAGGCAGCTTTATTTCTTGGACCATGTCTCTTACTTATTAGTATTTAATACATAAGTATATATTTAATTTTGAGAAAATTGTTTTAGAACTGAATTATGTAATTATTCATTTTTAGTTTACTTTGACTTAGTAATTTAGTAAATTGTATTCATTTTAAAACATTTGAATTATTTTTTTTTCTTCAGATCTGTTCATCATTTTGCACGTCATGGTTTGTGTCGAACGTTAACGGGTAAACGCCTTCTGTATAAAGCACTGAAGACAAAGCTATGCGCAATGACACGTAAGTTGCTTATCATATTATTTCAAAGCTTCTGCTTATTAAAATTTTATTTCAAAATTGTATTATTATTCTTAATACTTTCAAAATTAATTTGCATATATAATTATGCTTTAACGCCATTTAGAATGGCGTCCCTTGTTTTTAATTACGTATATGTCATTGACATCGTTTCATATTTATATTTTCATTATCCTCCAAATGATATTGTGAAACCGGTAGAGGTATTTTTAAATTACATAAATTAATCATAGGTTTTTTTGTATTATATCTTTTAACTGTTTTAAACATGTTTATATAAATATTGGTTTAAAAGGTTATTCATTATTTCCACGAAGTCACTTATAGTGTCTATTGCCTATCAATTGAAGTGGATTGCTTCAAATGGACACATTTTCCCACAAGTATTTTATAATATTGGTAGAAAACAAATAAATAAAAGATATTCTCATGAAATGTTTTTGACAAAAAAATATGTCAGAGTTTTACAGTGAAATAGTATGAATATATATGATATGAATAATACTAAATACAAAATTGTTCTAGAACACTTTATTATCTGAATATATCTTTATGTTATATCTGATCTTATATCATCAACATGCATACACATATTTTCATGATTTGTTTTCACGTATAGTACTAGTTAATACTATCAGCATAATTATTAATGGTATAACAGACTTTCCATTATGGACCATTCACTTTACTACATCGTTTTCGTTGAATATCTAAAAATACCTCTTATGATGACCATTTTCAGGTATGTTTGCTCAAAATATTGTCATGGATTTATGCCGTCATCGAAACAGAATGTTGGACCTTTGGGTAGCGGAAGTTTTCGATTTAAATGGTAATTTCTGCATTTCATTGTGATTATTACATTTTGTTTGTAGCTGTTCGGCTGGTCGGAACATGATATGCTTTATACATTTATATGATGTATCACAAATTCCTTATGAGTTGTTACCTGAATATGTACGAAACTGTTTGTAAAAAATCGCTCTTAATTGACAGCTAGCTGTTGAGTTAGAACACATTCCTGATACTGATAATGCGTTAGTCTTATTAATATTAGGAATTTTTGTTGTATACCGATCATTTAAATCTGCTGTTGCTTTTGAATCGTAACAGGTGACCTCCAAGTAAATTGTCTAAATTGCATACTATAGTATCCAACATAATGAGCAATATTGAACAGTTGAATATAACTTTTTCATACAACGTCAATGATAAAAGCCGCTAGCGATAAAAGTGTCCGGAAGATTTCTGAAAGGTACTATTTGCCTGTGCAAGCATGCTCCCGTATTGCATAATTCACTGTTAGATATCCTTTAAGTATCCCATATAAATACTGTGAAAGATAAAACTTTTTCATAACATATTTAATTGTTATATCTATATGTCTTTATTTCTTATTTTAGATGACGGCTTTATATCGCACTTTGAAAGACATCTTTATGATATCGACAAGTGAAACCAGTTTAAATATTCAAATTGAGAGCACAGTGTTTACCAAAGGAGCACATATTCTCGTGTCATTTTGACGTCAATACGACTGAAACGAACGATTAAGGAAGCACTTGTTTGATGATCGTATATAACAGGAATGTATTTTTATGAAGTTCTTTTGTTACCGAAGAAGTGTTCATCTGTAAGAAAACTCTATAATGTGCGTTGTGGTCATTTATTTATTTATTTATTTATTTATTTATTTATTTATTTATTTATTCATTCATTTATTCATTCATTTATTTAGTTATTCTCATTTTTGACAAATATATATTCATTAATTGTTCATTCTTTGTGCTTAAAGGATTTTTTTCTTTATTGTCACTGAGTTATGTAATTTAGAAAGTTACAGAGACAATCTTCATATCATGTCGATATTATTTTCATGAGTATTGTTTACAAAATGCTACCTCATTTGATGCAGTATAAAGTATTTGGATATACAGAAATGTATTTATTTCATGATATTCCGTCCAGTATATATTATATTGATTTTTTAACTCGTTGAAATAAAAAGAATAAGAACAAAAATGTATGTTTTAATTATAATATTAATATATATTTAAAATGCTTTTTATAGCGCTGGAAGCAATTGTTACACATAACAACAAGGTTAAAGGATTAAGAAACCTAAAGACCATGTATGCAGATCGTTATACTTGTATTTCCTCAAATAATGACTTCACAGTGGAAAACACCTATCACGTAAAACAGATGTACTAAAAATAAGTGTTACGAAAATGTTCGAATCAAATAACGACTTCGTATTTATTAAAATTATAGTAACCGAAATTTGTCGATATCTTCCGTGTCATTATGGTTCGATATCCTCTATTTCATGGAAAGTTTCATATTTACATTAAATCTAATGTTGAAACATAGACATATTCTCGCTTATTCTTTACTTTTCAATATTGCTCTACTTATCGTCTACTCGCAAAGTTTTTTTCCTTGAAGCATCAAACTAAATTACCTTTATTTAGAATATAAACGTTTGATTACAGGTTTACTTAATTACCCATTTTCTAAAGGTGTTTTTTATCTTCTGTTATCATTCGTTACAATCTGCCTTTAACTATATAGGCGATTTGTGAACCTTCACTAAAACATACTTTCATGACTTTAAAAGTATAGTTAAGCCTGTAATTTATCTTTTTAGTGATACTACATAAAATGATGAACTATTTTGTCTGGCGTAGGTGTAATTGAAACCGTGATATGTCCATATTTAGTATAAAGTTACTTACAAACATATTTTAATCGTAATCGTGTGTTTTATAGCACAGTTGGACGGATCAACTTACATATAAGTAGCTTAAACGAATTGCGAGTTCAGCAACATCCTCAATGTGATATAGTTTTCAGCTTGACGCGAAGAAAAAACAGGAAGAAATACGTCTTAAATATTCATTGCTTAAGAATTATCTTTAACAATTACTTTAAGTGCTGCCCCCAGCGCCAAAATGAATTCATGAGTGGCTGACAACTACCATTTAAGCTAGCTGATGAAATCCCCCCTGTCGATTCATGAACAAGTATAATTATTATTATTATTATGCAAATATTACGGCGTTTTAATTAGTATCTAATAAAGCTGTTGACACTTCGTAAACCGGAAGAAAATAGAAGAAAAAAATCTTTATCTAAATAATTTTGTTTATTACATCAAGTTTAAGTTCGTTTTTATTAACAGGTTAATAAAACCCAGATAAAGTACACCACTATATAGACAAAAAAAAATTTTTTCTTTAAGTCCAACATGTACGTAAGTAGAAAAGAAGTGCTGTACCACTACACTTCCCCATACACTCGGGGCTTGCACGTCAAAGAGATACACAACTCGTAGTTTTGGCGGGTAATTAAAATGTAAGGCAAACAAAGAGCAGCTTCCAGTACCATGAATGATGCCGAGAGGAGAGGCAATCTTAAGTGTCGAGGAAGAGGAAGGGTACTCCATTTGGCGATTTTACATATCTCGCCAGCCGATGCACTTAACTGGCTTATCTGTAGAAAGTGACCTTAATCAGTCGTGAGGGACAACTGACCATTGTCACAAGAAAAATAATATTTAAACTGGGTTTTGAAAGTTCATGTATTTATTCAATTGATTGTTTAATTCTTGAAACTGATTGTTTAATTCTTGAAACTGTCAAACTGCGTGGAATTGTGTGACTTTACATGGACATTTAAACATTAATTAATTACATTGTTCATTGAATGTCACGAAAGTACGTTAGCATGAGTTGTAACTTTATTTTAAATAAAAATGGCCAATTTTCCTTAACTTGCAGTATGCTTGTAGGTGCGGAAAAAACTACTACAATTAAAAGAAAAGAAAATATGTCAAATGTTTTCCTCAACGTTTGGGTATTTTGTATTACCAAATACTTTGCATATTGTCTTACCTCACTCCTACCCATATGATGTATGCGTTGTATGTAATTGAAAGGATTGTTTACCATAGCATAAATATTTTAAAAGCATTAAGGTAAGGGTTTAGGGTTACTGAAACTGCTAATTCACTGCTTTAATAAATTGAAACAAACCATTAATCCATTTTTCATATTTAGATAAACCGTACATTAGTGGTTGTAATGTTATAAATCATGTTAGAATTATCAAATCAATCTCTTTTAAATATGACAACCTTCTCGTCTATAGCAATCTTATTTGACTTTATAAAGTTGCATATATTATGTAAATTATTTACCACACTATCTTCCCGATCTCAATGTATCTTTATATTCAATTTATCACTTATATTTACAGCCACAAATAAATCTCAAATCTAAATGCATTCGGTGTTGATCCGTGCGATGTCTTCTTTTCTGACTAATCTTGAATATTCGTGCAATGTGGAACACTATTGTTCTCCGACTGTTCCTGCTTTGCAGCATGATTTTCATATGTAAGAGCGTATTGAAAGGCCTGGATGTTCTCCTTTACGGCAATATAAGGGACCAGTCTATTGTCGGAGAAACAAGGTTAATGTAAGGGTAACCAGCGCCCCGTGTATGTATTGATATCATGCTAACCAAAGCAATGCTGCCAGGACCTAATTGTCGCACCTTAAGCCTCCAAAGGATTTATATCTCCCTTAACGTCAATACACAATGTCACCAAGTCTGGGTCTGTGATTTAATTCGCGAGATGATTTCATATGTATTAAAGTTAAAACATTATCGACCCGGGAATTGGTAACTTTACAAAAACCGATTACGGTTTGGATGCTTATCGGTTTGGAAGCTTTCGTTACTGTGCTTGAATCTGCTATATTACAGCAAGGTTAATCAGAAGAATCTGACCCTCATAACAAGGTTGGTAGAGCTGAGTTGCCCAAGTTGCTAGTATATGAAACTTCATTGTTTCGTGAACTTGGCGCCGCTGGCCATTGATTAGACAAAACGAGATAAACTATAATTGATTGATTGATTTTCTTTAGACCGGGCGGTCAAGGATAACCTACGTAAGTGCAAGCACTTATTTCCAGTAGGGTCCTTACCTCAGCAGACTCTAAGCTATCAGATACAAGGGAATCTGGGAACAAGTCCCTAGCTCTTATTGAATAGATTCGTTGGTTCTTTTACATGCCCTGTGTATAGCACTGATACATGCGAGTATTACCTGGGTTTCGTACCAGTAAACCTCTAGTTAGGTGAGAAACACTGAAAATGTTTCTGAAAAATCCCAAGGGTGTTACCTAGGATCGAACCCGGAACAACCTCAGGAGTGACAGTCAGTGGACAAACCATCTGAGCTATCGCGCCAACTAAGAAAATATGATGTAATTATTGTATTTCGTGTAAAAACGTGAAATTTAAGGAAGTTTAAAAACAAATACATAAACATATATTTTCCAGCAGTAGTATTGAGTTTTAGCATATTAAGGAAAAACTGTTTGCAACCGTACACCTTAAATAATATGGAGTAATTGAAATTATACTCAAACTTGAAAGTGAAAATAAAAAAGGTCATATTAAAGTTTGAAGGAATATAATCTCAACCTACATTTGTAAACCTTGATTATTTATTAGTGTTCTACTTAATTTATATGTTGTGCAGTGATATTCAGTCGACCTAGTTTAAAAAAAGTTATTAATACATCCATTTGTTGTATAAAATACATCTCACCCACCATGAAATCTTTTCATGCTGGTAAAAAACTGAACCTAAATGTATATGTGCTATTCACAAATATTGACGACTTAGTTCTCTTAAAAAATATTCACCAGGATAAGGTTATGTTCCATCAATTATTTTATTAATACATTCGGTTTTAAAATAGCATCTTAATTTGCAAATTCTTCAATAGATTAAAAGTATATCTCTTTACAGCATGCGCATTACTCACTAAATCGTTTCTGATCTATTCTATAAAATGTAAAACATTTCAAATATTGATTATAAACATCAAACAGTCCTGCTACGAAGGTATAAATCATTTGTTGTTGAAAAGCAATGTAAGAGGTCATTATCAAATGTTCATAACTCTTGATAGAATTATGACTTTTATTCTACATCTCCTCTCCCAGGCTCTTGTTTTACTGTCAAGCACAGAGAATAGTCGAGCACGCCGTCCTACCGACAGCTATTTTTGATTTATGCGTTGTATTTATAAAAATTTAAAATAAGTCTTTGAAGTTCATGAGTTGTGTAATTGACCTTATTTTACACTTAAAAACGCTATGATTTTAAAACATTTAGGCGTCAACAACGGTTTTAGATTTCATCCCGCAAAGTAAAGATAAAAGGATTTCGGATCTAAATCTAAAATTTGTTTGTAGATAAAGCATAAGGAAAACTGACAGTATTTTTGAACTTTCAGGCATGTAAATAGGTCATACGATCAACCAAAGACTTATCACTTTGTTTGCAGATTTTTTTACTATGTCAAATGAAATGAAACCCTTTTTAACCTTTCACATTGACTATTCAGCAATTAACAGAGTAATGTACATTTTGAAATAACTGAAAATTGGAAGTATGTATTAGTTATCAACAATGTTTTACTTCATTTTATAAAAGAGTTCATTCTTCATAATTTTTCATTGCATTGTACAAATGTCGCTTACTAGCATAAAATGGTGAAAAGATCTGAATTGATTAATATGTGTTTAATGTTAATGTATAACAATTTGCATATCAAATCATATATATTTATATAATCTCTATAATTTTATAATATAATTTTATTTTTCTATCTATTTTATAATTTTTTATAGTTTTATCTCTATAATAAAGAAATGTGTAACCAAATAAAATATGTATTGTGAAATATGAATAAAGTCCATTTGTTTTCCAATTTTGTAATAAAAGTTAATAAATGTGATTAGTAAAAGTCAAGGGATAACTGTTTCAAAACACACTCACCCTGTGATAAACCGAAAACCGGGATATGAAATTATATTACAGCAGTCCTTCAACTTGCAATTCTCTAAGAGTATTTTTTAATATTGATATATTTTGTTTCTTACCTTATTATGACTGTAACAAAGATTTTGTGTGAGCACTTTATCTGGT